TATTTTTCTGGCAGGCCCTGCTTTGCAACCTACTCTGGTGGGGAAGCTAGTCTGTCACACTAGTTGACTGGATTAAAGGATAATTATTATATTATTATTATACAGTATTTATATAGCGCCAAAGGGTTTGCTCAGCGCTGTACAGTAGCAAGGGGGACAGAACATGAGACAAGACAGTAACAATACAATACACAAGGGGTTCAAGGGCCCTGCTCTTTCGAGCTTACAATCTAGGAGGGAGGGGAAGGTGGTACAGGAGGAAATGGCTGTGGGGGATGGAGTGGTGGGAGGAGTGGAGGAGGTTAGTTGTTAGGTGAGGTCAGGTGTTAGGTGAGGTTGGGGTAGGCTTCCCTGAAGAGGAGGATTTTCAGGGTGCGCCTGAAGGTGAGGAGGGTAGGTGACAGTCTGATGGATTGGGGTAGGGAGTTCCAGAGGATGGGGGAAGTCCTGGAGAAGTCCTGCAATCGTGCGTGGGAGGAGGAGACCAGGGAGCTAGAGAGCAGGAGGTCCTGTGAGGAGCGGAGGGCACGGGTAGGGTAGTATTTGGGTATCAGGTCGGTTATGTAGTTTGGGGCGGCGTTGTGAATGGCTTTGTAGGTCAGAGTTAGCACTTTGAATTTGATGCGTTGGGCAATCAGGAGCCAAAGAAGGGATTGTCAGAGGGGGGAGGCAGATGTTGGTGAGGTGGATGAGTCTAGCCCCTAAGTTTAGGATCGACTGGAGTGGGGATAGCGTTCGTTTGGGTAGGCCAGTGAGAAGGGAATTGCAATAGTCCAGGCGTGAGATGATGAGGGAGTGTATGAGTTGTTTGGTGGTGTCTGGGGTGAGGAATGTGCGTATCTTGGAGATGTTGCGGAGGTGGAGCCTGCAAGATCTAGATAGCAGTTGGATGTGGGGTAGGAAGGAGAGGTGGGAGTCCAGGGTGACAACCAAGACTTTGGCGTGTGGGGTGGGAGAGATGGTGGCGTTGTTGGGAGAAATGGTGGCATTGTTAGTAGTGATGGAGAGGATGGGGGGAGGGGGGGCGCGGGGGGGGAGACCAGGAGCTCGGTTTTGGACAGGTTAAGTTTGAGGAAATGGAGCGACATCCAGTCGGATATGTTGTTTAGGAGGTGGGCGATGCGGGCGGAGAGTGACGGGGTGAGGTGGGGGGTGGAGAGGTAAATTTGGGTGTCGTCGGCATAGAGGTGGTAATTGAAGCCTTGGGAGTGAATAAGTTTGCCAAGGGAGGAGGTATAGATGGAGAAGAGGAGGGGCCCGAGGACAGAGCCTTGGGGGACCCCAACAGAGTGGGGGAGGGAGGGGGCAGTGTTGTAGGTGACACTGGAGTGTTGGGAAAGGTAGGAGAACCAGGAGAGAGCAGCGTCCCTGATGCCAAGGGAGTGCAGTTTGGCAAGGAGGAGAGGGTGGTCAACAGTGTCGAAGGTCGCGGAGAGGTCGAGGAGCAGGAGGATAGAATAGTGGCCATTGGCTTTGGCGGTTAGCAGGTCGTTGGTGATTTTAAGTAGGGCGGTTTCGGTGGAGTGCAGGGGGCGGAAGCCAGACTGTAGGGGGTCAAGGAGGTTATCAGTGAGGTGGGCGCTTAGGCGATTGTAGGCCAGGCACTCAAGGAGCTTGGAAGTGAAACGCAGCAGGGAGATGGATCTAAGGTTGTTAAGGTTAGTGGGGTCAAGGGAGGGTTTTTTGAGTATGGGGGTGATGTGTGCGTGCTTTAGAGGGGAGGGGGAGGTGCCGGTGGAGAGGGAGAGATTGAAGATGTGGGTGAGGAAGCGAATGATGGGGGGGGGGGGGGTGACTGGAGGAGCTGTGAGGGGATAGGGTCAAGGTGGGCTTCAGTGAAGACCTTAGAGACCTCCTCAGGAGTAGTTGGGCTGAAGGAGCGGAGTGTTGGGGAGGTGATGGTATAGTGGGGGGTAGTGCGGCTAAGAGGTCAGGGGAGGGGAGGGTTGAGGGGGTTAAAGGAGGGCGGGAGGCTGGGTGGAGAGGTGGATTGTGAGTTGACAATGTCCTTACGGATTGCGTCAATCTTGTTTTGGAAGTGATTGGCAATCTTGTGGGCGGTGAGTGAGGTGCTGGGCGGAGGTGCGGGGGGGGGGGGGGGGGGGGGGATGGAGAGAGCAGGGATTTGAAAGTGAGAAGAGCCGGCAAGGACAGGTGGAGAGGGTGTTGATAAGGGTTATGAAATAGGCTTGCTTGGCGGCGTGGGAGGTGGTGTAGGCGAGGTAGGCGGATTTATAGAGTGAGAACGCGCGAGGGGATCTGGTTTTGCGCCATAAGCGCTCCAGCGCGCGACTGCGTCGTTTGAGGCATTTCGTGTGGTTGTTTTGCCAGGGTTGAAGCGGTCGGGTCTAAATGCTACTTGTGTAGCTGACAGTGAGTCGCTGTATGCAGTAATGGCCAGGTCAGGGCATGACAGAGGGAGGATACTGTCATACAGACGGTCAGCTGCCGGGTGGAGATGGGTCGGGTTCAGATTGCGGAGGTTGCGGGTGATGGTTAGACGCTTCGGGGGGGGAGATGGAGAATGTGAGGAGGTGGTGGTCAGAGAGGGGGGAAGGGGGTGTTAGTGAAGTCGTGGGGGGTGCAGAGGTAGGAGAAAACGAGGTCCAGGGTGTTTCCATTGGAGTGGGTGGAGGACTAAGTGTGCTGTGTGAGCGCGAAGGAGGAGGTTAGAAGGAGGAGTTGGGAAGTAGCCGGGCTGTTGGCGTTGATCGGGATATTGAAGTCGCCTAGGATGATGGTCGGTAGCTCAGAGGAGAGGAAGAAGGGAAGCCAGGCGGCGAAGTCGTCTAGGAAGGGAGATGTGGAACCAGGAGGCAGATAGGTCACCTTTTAACAAAAAATAATAAATGCACATTTTTTTTGCAGGTAAAAAAAAGTGCATTGATTATTTTTGTTTCTGGAGCCTCTAAAGCATTGCACCAGCGATCAGGGACTGGTATACTATCCTGGTTCACGGATGCGGAGTTTAAAGGCATGGCGGTTGAGGCCCAGGGTCATCGCTGAATCAGTAACTGCCATGATGCTAAAGGCTAGGAAATCTACTTTCCTTAAGGTTTGCTATCACACATGGAGGGCATACTTTAGTACAATGCAAGGAAATTTCATAGGCCTGGATCAGCAGCGTCAGATATTGGCACTTGCGATTTTGTTCCAAAGGCTGCTAGTTTCCCATTCCTTGATTAAGGCTTTTGTACATGGTGTCTCTCATGTTACTCCTCCTATATGCCCCCACAATCTCTATGGAATTTGAATCTGGTTCTTTTAGCACCTTGAATCTATCACAGATATTCCCCTTTCCATTCTCATTCACAAGGTTACATTTCTTTTGCCACCACTTCCGTGAGGTGAGTGTCAGAGCTGGCAGCCTTATCCATTTTTGGTCTTACTCAAGGACAAAGTGGTGTTGAGGCCCAGAACTTCTTTCCTAAAGTCGTTTTGATCTTTCAACTTAATCAGGACACAATTTACTTTGTCAATTTATACAACTCCAATTCATCAGAAAATGATCTCTCTTCATTGCCTGGATGTAGTTTGTGCTGTGAATGTCTACTTCACAGTTACTGTTCCTGTTAGAAAAATTTACTTCCTCTTCATCATTCCTGATGATTCCCCGTAAAAAGGGGAACCTGCTTCTTGTTTCACCATTTCTCTGATTCAGACAGATAACCATCCACGTTCAAAGATACTGAGTTCGTAATTATTGGGTTCCACCCTTTTTTGTCAAGGCACTCTTTACTAGGTCTGAGACTGTTTCTTGGGCTTTTTAACATAAGGATACAGTTCCCCAGATTGACAAGGCTGGTCTTCTGTTCACATGTATGCCAGGTTTTATCATGTGGATGTCTAGGCCTCATCTGATGCCAGCTTCAGGTGTAGGGTTCTTCAGACAGCTCTTTGCGCTGCAGCCACTAGTTCAGCTGTTTTTTGTAGGACTCTTAAATGTTGTTTTAGCCCATTCCCCAATTTCTCTGCTTTTGGACATCCCATCTCTGAATTGCTGCATCCCTCAATGAATAAGACAGAAATCAGTGTCTTGGTGAATATTGAGGGGGCACAGAAATTCGTAGACTGTTGGGTTATACTGCCACCAATAGGTAGATTCGGACACTGTCAACTTATGGCCAGCCCAGTATTTCCCTACCATTTCCAATATGTCTAGGTTTCATGGAAAAGCAACACTGAACATCAAGAAACATTGTATGAGATGTAAAAAAATTCCCATTTAAAGTGATAGAACACTACTTTTAGTCAAGCAAGCCAAAAGAGATTAAAAAAAACAAAACAAAGAAAAAGGACAGAGTATGTGGACTAATTTTTTGTGATAAAATTATACAAAGTAAGAACACATAAATATCCCCCACACCATCACCAGCCTGAACTGTTGATACAAGGCAGGATGGATCCATGCATTCATTTTGTTTACACTAAATTCTGACCCTACCATCTGAATGTCACAGCTGAAATTGAATGTCCATTCTCCTCTGACATCAACAAGTCATTTTCGCAATAAAGTAATTTACAGTAAGTTTTAACATGTGTTATGTTCCAAAAGACGAATTACAACTCTCTCTGGCTTGCATTGCTGACAACAAACAGTCATTGTGGCAAATAATGTTCATTATAGTTTAGCATACAGAGCATGCTGTTTGTTGATAATGTGGGTGAGGCAGATTCAGATGTCTGGCATGTGAGTAAGAAAAGGGAAACCCAAGTAGAACCTGGCATATTAGGGAAGATTTACTAAAACTGGTTCACTCAGAATCTGGTGCACCTGTGCATGGTAGCCAATCAGCTTCTAACCTCAGCTTGTTCAATTAAGCTTTGGCAATGAAACCTGGAAGCCAATTGGTTTCTATGCAGAAGTGCACCTGATTTTGCACTCTTCAGCTTTAGTAAATAAACCCCATTATTACCATACTAAACAGAGGTGTGAAATTATCAAATGGTCATATTACTTCAGTTATACATTATCAAACAGTGGACTGGAAATCACATACCAGTTGTCTCTCTATTTTCTTGTGCAGTAGATTTTGCTCCAAACACTGCATCAAAATCCACATTCATTGCTGTAGATGTATTTTGTATGCCAGAATGCAATGGGAAACCTAAATTTAGTAACACATATGCAAAGTTAATTTGTGACAAACAATATAAAATTGCAACAAATATTCTATTAGAACAATATTGATTTTTTAAAAAAGAACAATGCCTTTAAAATGTACTACAACCAATAAAAAAAAGAAGCCACAAAAGTGAGTGTATACTTTATCCATTTGAACAACTGACTTTAGTGTTAAAAAATAAAATGTATCCGTTATGAAAAAAAAAACAAAAAAACAGAAAATTAAAAGTGATCTTACATACTGAAATGAGCTTTACAGGTAATTGCACACAGATGTCACCACAAATTATTAACCTCTCTCGTATGCCTTATGTTAATTGAGGGCCAAATCACACTGAATTACGCTAAAAGGCATAGAAAATGGATGTACATTTCCATCCATTTTAGCCACGTGCTGACATACCTTTTGGTGTTTGTTAACATACATTTTGACGTCCGTTGACATGCATTTTAGCGTGCGTTACCACATACTGCATTTTCACAGGATATCCTGTGCATTGTGTTGACATCTGCTTACATCTGTTGCGTTGCGCTAAAATGCATACATGTTGCATTTTAGCACAAAGCAGCGTTATGGGTGTGAATAGGACACATTGGAAATTATTTTTTTTTCAGATGTCCTTCCATTGATCTACATTTAACAGCTGCACTAACATGCAGATCAACACACTAGTGTGAATTTACCCTGAATTCAGTTTTCCAAAAATTAACTGTGTGAAGACACAAGGGTTTAAAGACATTCATGCATTTTGGTGTTAGGATTTATTTAACTGCATTACATTCAGAATTTGATGAGTGGATAACTGACTTTGCATTGTCCTTTCTAAAGGTTCCCATGCACGTAAAAGAAAAAAAAAATAAGTTTTTAAAGAATGAAGTTACTACTTTGCAACATATAGGGTAGAAATGGCTGTTATAGACAGCCTAATGCCGGATACACAGGAAGTTTATTTTTTTCCTTCAACCTAGCAGGCTGAACGAAAAAATAAATATTTTTAATAAATATTAAATATATAAATATATTGCCATACTAACACATCCAATGTGAGGGCGGCAATCTCCCCACTGAGCTATTGTGTTCTGACAGGGGGACCATCCCCTCGCCAGGACACACATGTTCAGCGCAGGCTGCCAGCGATGATTGGATGTCAATTGGATGCTGCTTTTACAGCCTGCCCATTCGACAGAAACTAGTTGTGAGACCGGCTTTAGTCAGACGAGGAGCTGTACACACAGGCAGAAAGTTGTTCGGTTTCTGCCTAACCAACCATTTTGAGCGGATTTTCAGCTCGTGTGTATCCAGCTTTAGGCTACATTCGCATGGACATTTGTATCTGACAGCAGTTAAACGCCAGTAATCTACACTTGAAAAAGTGTGGTTTGGAAATTCGTTTAGCTGCAGATAGATGGGTTAAGCTGCATTAGCGGTTTCAGGCATTTATTCTCAATACCACATTCTTGGTGGGATTTTATACCCCAGGCACCTCATCTTCCTCTTTGTTGGTACTTTTCTGAGAAAGGAGACAGAGCTGTGTAATTGAATGGAGTGTAGAGCATTGTGTGCCTGCTTGAGAGGAGAACATGACTGAGGGCTGGTTCACACACTGCACCAGACTGCATGGTACTATGGTACCATGCGACTTGGTGCCCACAAATGGACTGTGTTGTGATCTGCATTTTGGGGTACCGTTAATTACAAGAGCAGCGTGGTCATCTGCAGTGCCTTTCCCACACTGCATTCTGCTGTTAATCGAACCTGAAGGGGAAAAACTAACTTTTATTAGACCACATATGCAAAGATTGAATACCAACATGAGGATGTCTCAGAACCAACATGAGAAGAAATACCAACATTTTAGGAAGGAAAAGCGTGTAAATTTCTGCTGCTAAAAGCACTTCAGCTATCTGCAGCTTAACGCAAATTTAGCTGCACATAGTTGACCCTGGACATAGCACTTTCCTTCTTTTCCCAAACGCAATTAAACCATCTTTAGCTAAATGCTGGTAATCATTATGTATGATGGCTCATGCACACAGCAGCTCAAAAACATTTAATTATTTTTTTTTTTTAAAGCTGCTTTTACAGGCATTTAAGCTTTTTTTTTTCCTCTGCCTCCAAGGTCCCATGCACACTGCAGTTAAAAGAAGCTGCATTGCATACTAGCACATTATTGTAATACTTACCTTAGAACAAAGCCCTCCAGGGGCGCGCTGCCACTGCTGTAGACGCTTCCATCTTCACATGGTCCTTCTTTGGGTTTCGCAAGCTCCAGTTTTCAGGAGTCAACAGGCATATGAGTTTACAGGCAGAAAAAAAAAACCAAAAGGGTTTGGGGTTATTTCCTGTCGATAAGCTCCTGAAACAGCCTATAGTGTGCATGGACACACAGGCTAACAAGGAAGGGAAGCGACAGGCAGAGAAAAGTAAAAGCTCCAAAGAGCTCAGATATCTGTAGGAGCAGCTTCTTTGAAATGCAGTGTGCATGAGGCCTTAACATGAATACTTTGCATTGTGTGAGTTCAGCTGCTTTCAGAAAAGTCTTCTAAACACAGCTAAAATCTGAAATTTAGACATCCATCTGAATGCAGCCTAAAAGTTAATCTACAGCTTAGTTTTTCTTATCAGTGTAATAAACAGGCATTATCAATGCATGCTGCCATTTGAAATGTCTTAAATAAATGTTATTTACCACTTATATTTCCCACTGATGGCTTAGAAGCAAAGGTGGAAGCATTAAACTGAGGTGTTGACTTTACAACCTCTTCAACTGGCTGCATGTCAAAGATGTCCAAGTGTGGAGGTGAGCTAACACCATTAGATGAAGAGAAGGGCCCTAAAAAAATACATTTTAAAATGCGTTACCTTATATGCAAAATAGTTTAAAAATCATATTCATTTGTATTAAAGTGGTTGCAAACCCAAGACATGAAATATGAACAAGGCATGTCCCTCTATAGTGTCTATTTGTCTCAATCCAGAACACCAAGTGACAATTCTGTCTGCTGCCTCACTCCTCTGCTATTAGCACAAGTTACTTCTGACAAGTTTTCCTGACACCAGAGAGAAAAAAAAAAAAGATGACATAGGAAGGCACAGTTTGTGATGAACAGAAAACGTTTTTTACCTTAATGCAAGGAATGCATTTAGGTAAAAAAAAGTTTTATCTTTAGTATCCATTTAAGGCCCCTTTCACACAGGGCAGAACTTGCTTTGCTCTGTCAATTCCTGTCACTACAGTGAACTACAAGATAATGGATGAGCAAGCTGGTAGTCCATTCACAAGTCCAGCAACTTTTAAACTGACAGCTCATACAGAGGTACTGGTTGAAAGCTGTAGGGTCTGTTTACAGAAGCCTGCAATTGCACCCATGATCCACTGATCATGGGTGCAATGCTGTGCAAGCTCCTGTGGGGAAAAATAATGACTGCACTCTTTTTCCTGCAAAAATGTGTGCATTTTTTAAGTTTGTCCCAAAAGAAGCTTAGACTAACTCACAAGATTGCTGACATGATCAACAGGTATTTTTTGCTCTCATTAAACAAATATACCAAACACTTTAGAAGGTATATTTACATAGTTAAGTTGAAAAAAAAAAAATAAACAAAAAAAATACACAAGTCCATCTAGTTAAATAAATAGAAAAAAAAATAGAATACATCCATACACAGAATCCTACACCCACAGCTGATCCAGAGAAAGACTAAAACAACTATATATAATGGTCCAACTATAAATAATAATTCCTTCCTGATCCCCAGAAGCAAACCTCTGGTACCATTAGCTATGAATATCAATATCCAGTTATAGTTTTTGCATTTAAGAATGCATCCAGACAATTTTTAAACAATCCACTGGTGCTGGCCAGAACAGGTGCTTGAGGGGGGCACATTTTCACAGCTGTGAAGAAGCCTATTAGGGATGCACCGAAATTTCGGCCACCGAAACATATCGGCCGAAAATAGTTGCCGATAGAAAAAATTTAGCCGATACAGGTGCCGATACAAGGGACGGTGTGTACTGCAGATGTGAGGGAGAAGGGGGGGGGGGAGCAGAGGAGAAAGGCAGGAGAGGAGCAGTGTATACAGTGACTGGCTGTCACTATATGTCAGTGCCGATTTTTAAATGTAATTATGGGCTTTTTTAATTTCACTATAGCTCAGAGAAAGACCTGTCACTTTCCCCACGCTAAAAGAAAAAGTTTATTTAGTCTCTTTCCCAAGCTATAAGAAACAAAGTTTTTCACTGAGCTATAGTGAAGGAAAAAAAAAAAAAAAAGCGGCAATTGCATTTAAAAACCGGCACTGACATATAGTGACAGCCAGTGAGGGAGCCTCTCTGTATACACTGCTCCTCTCCTGCCCCCTCCTTGAACACACTTGTCCTTCTCTGCACGGTCTAGTTCTCCCCCCAATATCCTTTTTGTGAATTGGTGCCCAAAACTGAACTGCACATTCCAGAAGAGGTCTTACTAATGCTTTGTACAGGGGCAAAAATATGTTTCTCCCTCTCTCTGCAGTCTATAACTCCTAATATAAGAAAGTATTTAGCTTGCTTTAGAAACTGCAGCTCAGCATCGCATGCCATCTTTAAGTTTATGATCTACCAGAACACCCAGATCCTTCTCAACCATTGACTTCCCCAGTTACACTCCTCCTTGCATGTTTTTAGCTCTCAAATCAAAACTTTACATTTGTCAGCATAAAACCCTCCTCTGCCACATAGCTGCCCAATTAAACAGTCTGCTTGTAAGCTGGACACATCCTGTATGGACGTTATTTCACTACGCAGTTTGGCATCTGCAAACACAGAAATGGTAATTTTAATCCCAAACTTTTTTATAAATAGATTAAAGGATAAGTTCACCTTTCGTAACATGTTAAACCCATATTCTGGGTGAAAAATCCAAGTATATTATATTATATCCAGTCACTCCACATTTGACAGCTTCTGCCTATCTTGAATCTATGCTGACTATTGCTTAAAAGATTGTTTTCTAGCAAAAACTGTACCAGACTCTTGAGTATCTTCTCAACTATATAAAGTAAACTAACCAGTCTGTAGTTACTTGGTAAAGAATTTGATCCCTTTTTAAACATAGGCGCACCATGCTGGCATTGCTCCAATTTATTGATACAGAGTAGGTAATTAAATAGAGTCTCTAAAAATGAAAAACAATGGCTTAGAAATAACTGAGCTCAACTCTTTGAGGACACAGATAAAAAACATCTGTTCCAGGTGCTATATTCACTTTTAGTCTGTCTAAATATTTCTGGACTATATTCATTTTGAGACATTGAAGTTCTTTTGGGGCTCTGTCAATATTATCCCCATTATGCTGCTGCCTACAGGAGAAAAGGAGTAGCTGAGAGACAGATTCTAACAGCCCAAACCACATCCAGACAATGGAGGGAAATCTCCTTTCAGTGACGTGGAATTGGAAAAAGGAACCGAAAAATGCAATGTTCCTTACTGCATTAAAGGAGCAAGAAACCCTGCACCAGTTCAGACACTCACCTTGCAGAAGTGATGGTTAGAAGAAATACCATCTTATGAGTAAAAATAGGGAGAACGAAATGTTTGGATGGGTGCAAAATGGTGGCTTCTGAGGTGCAGAGAGATCCAGAGTCATAGTGGAACGGACAGTGAGAGCTGTACAAATGGATTAACCAAGTAGAGAGAGACCAACAGTCTCTGATACAAAATAGAAAGGGGAGAAACCTGGACCAGTGCCGAGATCCAAATGCTAATCTAGACCCAGCTGCAGGAAGAGGAGTCATCCCACGGAAAAACTCCTAGGGTGGAAGACCTGAGACTCACACCAAGTAAAGTATGCCTTTCCCATCCAATGATAGACCTTGTGGGAATTAACTTTCCAAGCTTTTGGCATCATACAATATGAATCAGAGAGGAAGATATAGTAAAAACCGAGTAACTCAGGTCACAGGAGTAAAGTAATGTAAGGGTGAAAAGGATAAAAATTATAAAATTTATAAATTAAGACGTAAAAGATGATAATGGCAATATTGGCATACAAGTACTTAAAATAGAGTATGTAAATGCATTGGTGTACAATAAGTCCTTATAAGAGTCTCTCAGGCAATTTGCCTGGAATATTTATAGAAAAAAAAACCCAACAACAGCAGCCATCCTCTGAGCAAGCCAGCTCTGTATGCAGGGACAGAAGAAAAGAGACAGGAGGCGCCCGTAAAGGAAGCAATAAAACAAGCTCATCTGCGTATATGAGAGATGACCATTCCTCAAAACGTATTGCAGGCGCCACCGGTGGTTGGTGCAATAGCAGCTATTCTGATGGAGATGGTGAGAGACACTGTAGTAGTCAATCCTACAGAACAGTGTTGTTGTAGAGCCGATCCAGCGGCGTTTGTGCAGGAAGGAGCCTAGTAACCAGCCTGGAACACTCCGGAAGGATGTGACATCACAGGAAGAGGGTCAGTGGGGAGGAAGAGCACAGACGTGGGAAAGTCAGGCTACGCGCTCGGAGCCTCTAGCTCCTTCTATTGGCCCGGTGGACCTTGGGGGAGTAGCAGCTTAAATAGAGGACACTGCCAGGTGTGGAACAACAATGCTCAGTGGAGATTTAAAGACACAGTAACATGGAAAAAACGCATATCAATGTGGAACATGATCTCAAAGCACAAAGCTATAAAAGATATATATCAATATCTTTTTTTTAACTTAAAAACAAACATACTGCAACAAAAAAAATATTAAAAAAACTTGCATACAGTACTTATACATAAATTAATTTTTATATATTGCTTAATCCCAGAACGAAACAAAATTTACTTCAAAATAAAAAACAATGATCATTTTTGGTTTCAGATTTAAGTTTTAAAAGCTGATGCTTTTATATTTTTACATTTATAGAAACTCTCTCTAAAAAACAAAAAATAAAAACGTTTAATACAGGGTACTTCCTTGACCACAAATTCAAAAAGTATTAAACAATTTTTAAAGAGAGAGAACACCAAAAACACCAAAAGCCATGTCCTCTGTCTGACTAGACCTGTGGAGGACCCAAATAAGAACAGAACAGTAGTAGTGAGGTTCTTCTGATACACAGATTACAGGTGTCCTGTAACTTTGCACCAATTTAAGAGTGCTATCAAGTTCAGCACCCGAGCCCCGAAGAAGGGGGAATTTCTTGGGCCTTCCAAGATTTTGGACTCATGGACATTTGTTTGGTACTCTTGTTAGACTTATAAAACAAACTCTCAACTATGGGAGCCCCCTTTTTCAAGGGGTGCCCCTGCTATTTGGAGAGCCGCTGCACCGAAGCCTTTGTGCTCTTTGAAACTCTGAATGACCAACCAAAAATTATCCAGCACCTTGTCTTCACTTTTGTTTGGACTGCAGCAGAAGAGAGGTGGAAGGGGACTTGAGTCCCTGTTTGGTCTCATTTCCCTATATGTGTAAAATTATGCGCGTAAAATTCTGGTTCAGCTACTGGGATCTGTAAAAAGGCAATTTTTAGAATACCAGTAAAGAAAGGAACTGTGTGTGCATCTGTATATCACAAAATTTATAAAATTTTGGGGGTGATAGAACAATTATATGGCTACTTTAGAGGAATGTATAACCTTACCTCCCCATGTGCTATTTACAGAAGTTGCAATGGCAGGTGTACTCTGTACAGTCGGCACGAATGCTGGCTGCAGGTCGAACAGATCACTGCTAAGGTTGGGCATGCTGAAAAAGGACAAATTTGAATATTAACTGCACTGAACACAAAATATCATGTAACTAAATGTTATTAATGTGATTATGCATATTTAAAGTGTTATTCAACCCATGACCCTGCATTTCACTATATCACCCACAGAATATAGAAATGCAATCATTTTAGTAAATATAAACTGCTAAATACCTTTTCTCATCAGCGGTTGGAGCAGTCCTGTGACCTCTATCGGTGTCCAACAGAGTACTGGTTAAAGCTTATAGGAAGAGTTTTCCTGATTGTCCTATGAGGCTGCATAACCCCTGACCCTCTGTGTGGACAGTGCTGATTGGCCCTGTGCTGATTGCATGCACTCTCTCCAAAAAAAAAACCAAACAACTCTCTAGCAATGAGCATTAAACTGAGCATGTGCAGCTTGCAGTGAGTATAACAAGCAAGCTTTACTGCATATACAGACTGATTTTAGTGTTGTGGGTTTAGTAATACTTTAACTAAAAACTTATGAAATTATATGGCAATGCAAATAAAATATAGTGTAAGTATTTAGAATAACTTAATCCCTTCCCATCAACCATATGCATTTATATGCGGCCTCACAAAGTGTGTCTTTATTCATGGGGTCGCATATATGCACATATCTTGTTGTGCTAGGAGCGCACCGCACAGCGCGCTTCCAGCACACAGACCAGGCCCTCGTACGAACTATAGGGATCTGGGACTCTCGGTTCTGAGTCACCTGATCACTGTGATAGCCTCTGATTGGTAATCATAATGATCAGTCACTGTAAGCCCAATCCTGTGTTCATTTCCTCTTCACAATGAAGATACGCTGGTGCAATGCTGTAGAGGCTCCTAACACAAAAAAATTATAAATGCACATTTTTTTTTTCACCTTCAAAAAAAGGTGCATTTATTTGTGGAAAGGTGAACTTATCCTTTAACTTCTAGTTTTGCAGTAGTAGACTCAATAAATATCAGCCCTCCCAACCATAAAACTAAAAGCTTAAAGAATTCTGGGTATGGCATTTTATACATATTTACATTGGTTCAGCTTGGAACAATGTAACTATGCATACACCATACCTGTGGGATTCCTCCAAAAAGGTGGAAATTACTGTAGTAGACACCACTACTCCAGTCATCTCTACTTGCTTCTGGACCCTGTGTCGAGCGGTTACCCTTTTCATTCTGAAGACAGAAGGCACTGGCACCATTTAGAGAATGCTCTGTATTTTTTCACTAAATGCAAAGCATTCTCTGATTGGATGAAGTGAGGAGTATGATGTCACCCCCCGCCTCTCCACCTCTTCCAATAAGAGAACACTTTGAATTAACTGAGAAAATGCAAAGTGATCTCTGAATGACGCCTTGCCAAAAGGGGAGATCACAGAAGTAGCGGTATCTGCTACAGGGATATCAAGCTTCTAGAGGGCTCCCTGATGTATAGTATATGCATAGTTACATTGGCCCAAGCTGGAACAATGTAACTATGCTAATAATGCAGTTCTGTAATTCTTCTTTAAAGAATCGAGTTATGATAATTTCCTAGTGTCAAAATACTTTAAAATATAACAAATGTTATTCAGTATTAAATACAGAATACATAAATAATTGATGAGATGTGTGGCCTGCCACTGTTGACCTCTCCTGAAAATTCTAGTTACCTGGCTTTTATGAAAAATACATTGCTTTCAATACTTTGAGTCACTAACCCAGAATACATATAGAAGCAAGCAATTCTCACTTTTCTCTGACTTATAATAGCTGAATGCCTATTTCAGGATTGTGTCGTCAAAGTACTGAAACCAGATAAAGTCAGGTAATTATCATATTCATTTTGTCTATACAGCATTAAATATAGTGAAAGATCCTTCTCAGTCTCCCAATACTTACCTGAGCCTGATCTAGATCCAGTGCTGTGCACAGGAGCCCCGGCTCTCCTGGGTCTCTCTCTCCTCATTGGCTAAGACATAGCAGTGGGAGCCATTGGCTCCCACTGCCATCAATCACACCTAGTGAGGACCCAGCAAGGGGTGGGGCCGAGACAAGCTGCGTGTGTCTAATAGACACACAGAGCAGGGCTCTGGATCAGGTACGCATGAGCACCCCCAGAGCAAGTGGCTTGCTCTAGAGGCTCTAGAGGGGGGGCTGAAGGATCTGCTGCCATTTTCCCCATTTAATACCCGCAGTATCAGTGGAATGACATTCTTTATGGGATAAGGATGTGACTGGCATATGAGACACTTATAGTGACATGTGAACTTCCTTTGTTCGCTGGCCCTATAGGAGCTATGAATGCCCTTTTCATTGGTGGTCAATAACATTTCTGCTTTTCTGTTATTTACTTGTAAAACTTTCCCTGCCTGAAATAGGATATCTTACTGTCATCTGGAGTTTTGCAATTTTAAACAGCAATAGTGCATCAGGTACTTATAGTGCCATATTTTATGGAACTCTATGTGCACCTAGATATAAGCTTTGAATCTGGAATGTGTGTATGAGACATGAAACTATGCAGACACAACGGTTGTTTGAATGTACCTAATGGTGTATGTTTTACATTAACAGTGTACTCTAACCGAATCCCTGAAGAAGCCTACCTTTCTTTTTTGCTTACTTTCATAATACAACATACTATGTGAAATATTTTATTTAAGTGCTACAGGGTTCATTGTACTGATTGTTTCATGAAATACTGTATATTAACAGTTTTTATGGATGTAATTCTGGGTTTTTGATATTTTGTAATAAAACTATTATGCTTTATAAAGAGTATGCATGAGTATTTTCTGTGAGGTGAAAAAGCACCCCAAAAATCCTGAAACCTTTTTTTCTTTATTTCCAATAATGTGTGTGTATAGGTTTTTAGTACAGTGTAATTGTTGTAATTATTTAATGCACCATTCAGGAAATGCAAATTTTGTTGTAGGTTTTTATACGACAATAAAGTCTTATTATTTAATATAAATATTTGCAGTATCAGTAGGATTTTTACATAAAATGGCTCATCTGCATCCACTGATTCTTGAACTGCATAGATAATAAATTTGTGCAAAACACTAGTTACAGAATATTTACTTTGACTAGTTACTAAAGTAATAAAAATATCATGAAATTTTATGTTAGCTATAGATGTCAGAAAGCAATTGGATGTTCAAAAAGCCTAATCTTACTGCCTGAGGGGCTTGCTATAAACATACAAGCTTGTTTCACAACTGCATACATTTATAGGCAAGCAGGAGAAAACACAAATGACTCTAGCAACACCTTCACCTAGGGAGAAACCTTAATTGACTATAAACAAGGAGCAATGCTTCCCTTGACTTCTCAAAAATTTTAACAGCTAGAACACATAGCTCAGCCTGATGAAGCCAAATCAACCAGGCTGTGGTACAATGATCTCACGCCTAGGTTCACACTAATGAAACCGAAAGAAGGCATTAACTCACCTGTTTGTTGTAGGTGCAGGTGTTGTGAACAAATCAACAGCTGTGTTATTGACACTTTTCCCAGATAAAGTGCTAGGTGAGGCTGATGTAGAAGTAGAATTTGACACAGAAATTTCTCTTAGTCGTTGCTCCTAAAAGGCAGGAAAATCATATTAATGCATAATATCGAACTACCCAAGTATATTAGAAAAAGCTAGCATGACTTTCACCAAGAACAGAATATGTCGAGCATGCCAAAGTGTGTTACTGTGAGTTATGACTGTTGGCAGAACTAAACAAAGTTATCAAAAAAAGGTTATCAAACATTTCTTCCTCCCTTTCTTGACAGAAGAAAACAAGTTCTTGTACATAATGAATATGCATTAATTATTACAAACAAACTCGGTTTTAGAAAGATTTAGTTTGAGGAAGTAACTAGAAGTTATGTTAGAAATCTTCTTTAATATATCTTAAAATCAACACCTACAAAATAGAGCTTTCGTTTGGTGGTATTTGGTCAGCAGTGGGTTTTTTTTATTAATTACAAAATCAGAAAAAGACCAAAAAAAAAAAAAAAAAACCACAAAAACCTGATAATTTTCTACTTTCTGGTACAGAAAATCCAATACAAACATTGAATTTCTTCATAAATTTAGGCCAAAATGTGCTCTGCTACGTCTTTAGTAAAAAAAACAAAAACAATAAGTGTATATTAATTGGTTTGCATGATCAGCGACTTATAGCTAGACTGTGATAGTGGCGAGCAATCTGGCACTAACAGACAATGGCTGGGAGGGTCACTAACTGAAACAGACATTGCTAGTGACACTAATACAGTGATAATACTGTACACTGACACTGTACTAATGGCACTGGCTGGGAAGGGGTTAACATCTAGGGCCAGTCAACTCATATGGAAGAAAAATATACTTTAAAAATATTCTTCCGAAATATAATTGACATACTACAAATTTGGCCATATTCAATATATTGCAATAAATATATATACTGTATGTTGAAATGCGTTTGTTACAAAATATATGAAAAATATTTTTAAAAATAAATTTTTAAATATACTGTATGTCTTTAAAATACAAATCTACATTTTTGGAATGTATTTACAAATATACAGTTAGGTCCATATATATCTGTACACAGGCATAATTTTAGTTTTTTTCAGGTATTTACATAGTCAAGCTAAAGTTATATAATAGATATGGGCTGAAAGTGCACACTCTCAGGTTTAATTTGAGGGTATGTACATCCAAATTGGAGGAAGGGTTTAGGAAATTAATTTTATGTAAATGCATACCAAAAATGAAATTTATACATGATTTGTATTTTTAAAGACAGTATATTTGAAAATGTATTTTTAAAAATATTTTTCATACATTTTGTAATGTAACATGCAGTGTGTGTATGTATATATATATATATATATATATATATATATATATATAAAAATATGACCAAAATTGTAGTATTTCAAATATATGTCAATATATTTGGGAAGAATATTTTTAAAATATATTTCAAATATATTTTTCTTCCATGTGGGAACGGGTGAACTGTGTGCCTAACAAGTGTAATGTATGTAATATGTGCTGCTTTTACTTCATAATCTGGCTGTTTTTTCTCCCTGCTTTTTAGAGAAAGAAAACGGCCAAACTGCTGTAAACACAGAGCTCTGTGTGTGACTGGTTTTAGATGAAATCATAGTCTGAAATCTGCTGTCAAACTAGTGTTGTGTCCAACTACAGCACAGGTCGACCAGGAGCACACACACAGCTATGTCCAATGACACAGCAGATCACCGGTAAATGCAGTTGCCGGTTATCAGCTGCACTTTCCTCATGCTGTCACAGCGTGAGGAAAGTACTGCTGATAACTGGCAGTTGTCAGAGGAGGGATCATGATAATCAGTGTCCTGATTATCGGTGCCCAGCAGTGCCACCCACCTGTGCCCAGCAATGCCACCCACCTGTGCCCATCAGTGCCACCCACCTGTGCCCATTAGTGCCCAGCAGTGCCACCCACCTGTGCCCAGAAGTGCACCCACCAGTGTCCATTATTGTTGCATATCAGTGCCACCTCATCAACGCATCATTAAGGAGAAAAATTACCTGTTTTGCAAAATTTTATAATAGAAACAAAGAAAAATTTTATTTTCAAAATGTTTGCTTTTTTTTGTTTATAGCACAAAAAATAAAAAACCTAGTGGCGAGTACATACCGCCAAAAGAAAGCTCTATTTGTGTGAAAAAATTATAAAAATTTCATATGGGTGCAGCGTTGCATGACCGCACAATTGTCACTCAAAGTGCGACAGTGCTGAAAGCTGAAAGCTGAAAATTGACCTGGGCAGGAAGGGGGTATAAGTGCCTGGTAGGCAAGTGGTTAAACAAATTATAACTGCATTTTGTGTGCTTTATCCAGTTCTCTGCTTATATAACAAGGGCATTTTTGACAAACTATCAAATTAAGGCCCCACAGCTGCTAAACAAAAATTTTAAAAAAAGTGTAGAAAATCAATTGGTATGCAAAAATGCTGAAATATTGATTAAACCTGTGCATAATAAAGCGTGAACAATTGATCTGGTTATGATACGGTTGAGGGTGAATAGTGAAAAAAAAGTCCTGGGAGGTAAATTGCTTTCTTGACATTACCTTAAGTGCTTGTAATCTGGCCTGCTCCTCTTCCAGAGCCTGTTGCTTTTCTTTTTCATCCATTTTAGAAAATGACAAACCAGTGGAAGCTAGAGACGATACTGCACTGGACAATGTGCTGGCCCTTATGAGATGAAAAAATATTTAGTTAAATATAGAGAATAAATGACATATCATTGCACAAGATTTCTTCTGCATAGGTTAAATGTTATTTTGAAATTAGGTCAAATATAATCTTGAATACTACAGTTACCAGTCTTTCATAAAAGCAAAATTCCAAGTTTGAACAATATAAAAAGAAATAAAAAACAAAAAACAAACCCAGAAACATTACAGTCCTTTCAACAGCATGTTAATAAAGATTACCTTTCCATTTCAATCAGCTACCACTGATTTTCTAGAACAGTGAAAAAATGTATATGGATACCTAGAGACTTCTGTAACTTGTATGATTACAATCCTTAAAGTGCTTGAAAAGCTTTAAAAAAAAAAATTAAAAAACACAAGCACTGTATACTTACCTGCTCTGTGCAATGGTTTTGCACAGAGCAGCCCCAAACCTCTTCTTCTTGGGTCCCCAGCTGGGTGCTCAAGACGCCTCCTCTTTCCCTTCCTTCATAGCAAGTCTGCTATGGGGGACACTTGTGTGGGCTCGATCCTGAGCCAGGCTGTGTCTATTCAGACACACAGCATGGCTCAGCACTGCTCCCTGCTATCTACTCACAGGTATTAACCAACAGCAGAAGGAGCCAATGGCTCCCACGATCTCAGTCGAGCCTGTGAGAGCGGGGAAGGGAGAAGAGCTACGGCAGACGAGACAGCACTGGATGCAGATCAGGGGCTCGGTTAGTATTGGGGGAAGGGGCTACTATTGAAAGATTTTTTACCTTAATGCAGAGAATGCATTCATTGCAGATCGCTCTTCAGCATTTGACATCACCTGCGTTGACACCTCCTTAGCAAGTATTACATGCATTTCAAGGTGTTTGCAGGATGAATGTACCTCACACGATACGGGATAATATTTGGAAAGTACTGTGGTTGCTGGGGCATGTGTACATCCCCCTGCCTGTGCAGCTTAAGAGGGAGCAGATAGGGTCAGTAAAAACATGATTCAAGTATGTAATTTTACCACCACTAAACACAAGTGTAACTGAGGTCTAGGACATGTGAATATCCATCTATCTCTTAGAAAGGATTTTATTGTAGTCAACAGAACTAAAGAGATACACATTTTAAATGACCAATCAAACTTTGTACAGTACAACTCACCTGCTAGCAGCTGACAGTTCCTTTGTCTTTTTACCTTCAAGGGATGCCAAGTGCTGTTCAAGTGCCTCCAGCAAACTGCTGGGTGCCTGCAGAAGAACAGTTGCGAGTTAGTGACAACCAAACATAGGAAATACAAGGGCAGTCTCAGGAAAAAAAAAAGGTCAACATTGTTTTTACATGAATTCCATCCAGATATCAGGACATATGTTTGAATACAACTGAACTTACAAGCAACAAATACATTTTAAGTACAGTTCACAAGTTCAGATATTACTTAAACATATAGACAGACATGTACACCCCAACAATTGTTTGCATTAACAACTTAAAAAAAAAAAAAGAAAAAAGAGATTTTTTTATATATATATATATATATATATATATATATATATATATATATATATATATATACACACACACACACACACACACACACACACACACACACACACACACACACACACACACACAAAATCTTCGTTTTATATATGTAATACATAGCTATAGGTTAACTAACAAGACAGTACAGCAAACGTCTGATTTACAGCTCTCCTTGTCAACCTCATAATGAAACGCATGATGATAGATGGAAATATGTATTAAACATTTTTTTTCCAGGCCTAACCATAATAAAGAAAAAAAATATGCACAAAACCATTATGCAAGGAGGGTTATTTACTAAAACTGGAGAGTGTAAAATCTGGTGCAGCTCTGCACAGAAACCAATCAGCTTCCAGGTTTCAGTGTCAAAGCTTAACTGAACAAGTGCAAGTTAGAAGCTGATTGGCTACCATGCACAGCTGCAGCAGATTCGGAGTGCTCCAGTTTTGATAAATCTCCCCCACTACCTTTAAAAAAACCCTAACTACTTATAACAGAGTTGTATGTATCTCATGTATCTATAACATTTGCACCTGGTAACTTGTTTCTATCATTGTCGAGAGGCACATGGCCTGGTTAAAGATGCCTTATGACTACTACTGACTGGTTCCTGGAATGGACTAGACTAGTCTAGTCTGTCCATGTATTGCATATTTCTGATAAATGTAGACTGAATAAATTGCTCCTTTAAAGCGGTGTTAAACTCAAAAATTTTTAAACATTGCTGAGAGTAGACCCTAATGATCTCTTGTGTTATAAATGCTTCCCCCTGCCTGTCAGTGGTAATGTACACTCGGACACAGCGTACATTTACAACACCTGTTCTGTGCCGTAATGAAGGGACTCCTGTGTGATGAGTTATGTCATCGCAGCCTGGCCATTTAAGAGACTGAACAGACGTAGCCCAGAAGGAAGACCGTGAGAAGATGGGCCACCCGGGCACTGACAGTACAGCACCAGAGGCCATCTTTTGATAGGCAAGACTGAAATCATGTGCAAGTATGCACATTACAGTATAAACCTGCAGGAGGGCACATCCCAAAAAAAAAAAAAAAAAAAAAAAAACAAAACACGTTTTCACAGAATTTAATTCCACTTTAAGTTTATAAAACTTTTTTGTTTTAATGAATGTGATCACTGTTCATCCACATTCGTTTTGATAGATCACCCAGATCAGCATATTTCTATTTACTTGCAGCCTGTACAAATCAGTTACAGACTGAGAGGCTCTGCAGTTGTTCGCTCGTAATTGCACTTGGAATGATTACCTTCAGTTAGGGACAAAATGAGTGTCCCTGGACACAAAGGGGTTTATTTACTAAAGCTGGAGAGTCCAAAATCAGACTCCCTTCTGCATAGAAACCAATCAGCTTCTAACCTCAGCTTGTTCAATGAAGCTTTGGCAATGAAACCTGGAAGCTGATTGGTTTCTATGCAGAAGGGAGTCTGATTTTGGACTCTCCAGCTTTAGTAAATAAACCCCAAACAGTCTGCGTCCTGAGACACTCATCTGTCAATAGCATTGATCAAAGACATTAGTCGTGAACAGTGTCATCCTGTTATTGACTAGTACAGGCTTCTTGTCCACAGCTGAACACAAACACCTGACAACACCCATCACAGAAATACACTGATCAGAATGCGTAATCACATGGTTATATGAATGATCCCCAATGCTGTATCATGTGATCAAAAGAAAACGTTACTCAATAATAGAGCAGCTAAAAAAAAATCCACACTTATGTTCTGTCCTAAGAATGAAGGAAACAAATACAAATGTATATTAATAGTATTCTGTACGTCTTCCTGTAGATCTCCAGTTTATAACCCAAGAGTAAAAACCCTGCTTGAATGTAGCACTGCATTCCACTGTTCCATAATCTATGAGGCCTGAAAAGTATGCTTGTGAAAATTTTAAAGTCCAATTGAGGAAAAGGCCAAACAGCGACTATGCTGCAGGTATAGTTCACATGTATCCGTTTTTTGGTGGTAATGATTTACAGATCCCCACCAAAAAAAGAAAATAAAAATACACATACACAATTTTACACTTATCAGTCAATAAACAAATCATGAATCTGTAAACCATCGAAAGGCATAGCAGTTTAAAAGGGTATTTTGGCTCACTGCTATAACCGTCACAAACACATCTCGACCTTCAGCCACCTGCTGTCAAGTAATTTTGACCAGGCCAAGTCTTGCCCATTCTTACCAGAATAATGTGACACTGTCTTAAAATGAAAAATCATGGAACAGTTAAGACCCAAACCCACCAGTTGACGATGACATACAAGTTCACCAGTTCACATGAATTTGTTTCCATATATAAAAATATATGGAAGAGAAAGCTTCTCAGGAAAATGGATAATGGATAAAGCAATAAACAGAGGAAAGAATTGGAAATGATACTATATAGATGAATGTGAAATGCACACTGACCTGAGTAAGATCTGGAATGTCACCCTGATCAATTCCAACTTGCTGAGTTCACAATAAAGGGGGAAAAGAAAAGTGTACATTATTTCATGCAGCGGCAATGAAGAGTGCTGTGGGTTCTGAATGTTTACACACACATATTATGATGGAAAAAGGGACTTTACTAAGGTAATGGACTGGTACAGTGGCACTTGCTAGCCACAAATATCACAAGCGTTACAAATCAAGCAATTTAAAACTTGCACGCATATGCCAATCTTTGAATTCGAAATATCATGCAACTGCTGCTAATGCAATTCAATACAAGTACGAAATAGTGTAAGAAAACTTTACATTTTGGCAAAAAATATTATATAAAAATAACAAAAACAAAGCTTGCTGTTGGCCACAAGACAAATCTAAAGAAGAATGACAATGGTATCAAGCAGAAAAAAATATTACTTCGGTGGCAGTGGCTTTGTGTTCAATGACAGTTTGCAAACCAAGATTCTTTTTTGCAGCATTCAAATTGTATTATCATGCACAATACATGCTACTGTACCAGTGCCAAGAGCTAAATAAGGCCCCTTTGGTGCATGACTGACTGGACTTACCTCTGCGACTTTAAGGAATTCTGACAGTTTGGTCATGCGGGCTAGAAATTTCTTATAGATATCTAATGCTTCTTTACACTGGTTCTTCTTCATGTCAAAGTACTTTTCTACAGTAAGCAAAAGTGGCAAACAAATACATTGTATTAAAAAAAAGTGTTTCAATGAAAGTCAAGAATTGAAATTTTCACAGCAAAATGCGAAAAAGTTAAGTACACTCATACCAAGCCAGAGATGGAACCAACAACATACAAAAGGCATATGCAGCTCTGCCCCCAGCTGCATCACCAAACATCTCAAAATATCACCGAAATAGTCCTCTTTGTTCCTCCCAAGACCGCCTACTCTCTAGCTCACTCGTCACCTCCTTCCATGCTCGCCTCCAGGACTTCTCCAGAGCCTCTCCGTTCACTGAAATTTCCTACTTTATTCAATCCAGTTATCTCCAACTCCATCCATCTTTAGGCAATCCTTAAAAAGGAGTATGTCCTCAGGGAAGCCTACCCCGCCTCCTAAGGCCTCATGCACACTGGGACTCCTCTAAATGTCATTGCTCCTGGCAGCAAAAAAGCAGCCAAAAAAAGTGTCTAAATGTGCATTTTGCAAACGCATTTAGGTGCATCATCTCAATTAATTTATTCTGCCCATTGGAATGGCTGAACACTTAAAGTGATACTAAAGTTAAAAAACATTCCTTGCATTAAGGTAAAAGAAAGGTTTTCCGTTTCTTTGCACCCCCCCTTCCCTGTGTGAAGGGGAAGAGAGGGGAGAATAGATCCAGAGCTGTGCACGGCTGCATCTCTTCTCCCCTTTTTCCCTCTTTACACTGCAATCGAGCAGCAGCAGGAGCCATTAGCTTCTCTGTTGACCACGCAAGTGATGACTTTCTCAGCCTGTAAATGCTCCACTTCTAATACACCTGTAAAAACCTATGTGTGCATGGCCACACAAGCAAATTTAGAGATGCGTTTAGAGAAAAAAAGCCAAACACCTGTAAAAACAGCATTTTTTTTTTTACATCAAGTGTGCATGAGCCCCAAACTCAAAGCCATTTATTGAGGTTTGCCCTGCATTTATTCTAAGAAGTGAAAAAAATCTTACAAAAAATCTAAATCAGTATTCTTTATAAAAATGTCTATGCAATTTTCAGATAATCCAGATATTGTCAAGAATAAACTCCCACAGGGATGGAGTATAAAGGTGTTCCCTTACCTACCATGCTTGTAATGTTTTCTTTTTTTGCATTCATGAAAAAAACAAAACAAAAAAAAAAGATTTGAGAACTATTCCCACAGTGATTTTACTGGTTTCACATCACTCTTGCTCATCTTGGTAGACTTTCCACTGAAGGTAGCTAATACAGAATTCTAACAGATAATAGCACATTGTGGAAAAGGAAGTCACCAAAAGGATAAATGTAAACTGGAAGACCTCAGCCATTCTATATCCAGGGCAGATCAAGCAGACTTGTAAATATAATCATTAACATATACTCCTTTCCAGGGCCAGGACAGACAGGAAAGGATGGAGGTGAGGAAAAAGAAGCATATGACCCAGGCACGTCAACACTATGTAGAGAGGAGGCGTGGGCTAGGGGCTCCAGGAGCTCCCTTCTCCCCTCTCTCACAGACAGGAGTAACTGCAGTGTCACTCACTCCTGTCAGCAGGGATTTTTTTTTTTTGTTAAAGAGCACAGAGATACTTGGAACCCCCACCTCTGGCACTAGCCCTGCACTTGCAACTGTCGCTTGTCCTAAAAACAGAAGCCGGCTTCCTGTGTACTTCTGAATTGGTGGTTAACATACATGAGCATACAACAGTTTTTCTGAATGCACATGCACAGGTAGCTGCTTCTCGCATCAGCATTTGTGTTTACAAGAGTATGGCCTTTCACCTAAATTTCAGGCTATAGGTAGCATGTGCAGCTCCCCGGGGTGGAAAAGTACCAGATTTATAATGGGCATGAAAAAAACCACCTATTTAAGTCTAAGTGCATAACTCTTTAAATCTGCATGCAGAGACAAGACTCTGGCTATGGAGTGCAATATTAAAAAAAGCATCCCGTGATGTATAGACTCTAAGCATACAATCTGCAAAGAATAGCAAGCACAAGCACACCTAAAAGGTTGCTCTTTACACATCAACAGAGCTGTAAGTTCTTAACCACATTCACCCCACCATTTGTCATTTATGGTTTTGTTTTTAGCCATTGGTCTTTACAGAAAATTTTAAATCATAAAAGTTAATCTCCTACAACATGTATAAGAGTAGAATTTTACACACAGCCACCAGGCTGCTCAAAATGGAAGCAACCCTTAGAGAAGGAACTCTGTAGAAATAGGAAGAAATACCCCGACCGCCACACTCCTCCTCGCCCGGCCTGAGTGTTAGCAGGTAAAAGCAGCCAAACAGCCTTAACTCAATTCATCCAGGCCATGCCCCCAACATGTTTTGCCCTGTCCCTGAATGGAGGTAAGGAAGTCAGGCAAAAGATGCTGGGGGCATGGCCTGGATGAATCGAGCTGAGGCTGCTTTTACCTGCCAACCTTTTGGGCCAGGGGAGGTGTGTGCCAGTCATGGCATCTCTTCCTATTTCTACAGCGTGCTTTGTTTCTGGACGAACCTTTCCTCAGCATGCACCCTCACTAGCCAGTGGTATCCAATTGATCGGACCTTGCTAGCTTGTACAGGGGGCACAAATCATTTATCAGGTCACCTTAGAGAAGGAACTTATCATAAAAGCATAGCAATAAGACTTAAGCCAAACATACCTAGCAAATTAATAACACCTTCATTGTAGGCAGCAAACAACCTAATAGAATCCTTGAACAGAAGCATGAAGCCTGTATTTATGACACCATTCGTTAATTCATTTGGATTTGCCTTCAAAGAAAAAAAAAAAGGAATTTAGAAAACTTGAAAGTAAAAACAGCAGAAAAAAATAGGACTCATATTAAAGTATCTAAAATGTGAAGTATGGTAACTATAAACCACAGGGAAGGATGTGGTAACATTAGGTAACCTAGTACTGTGTACCATAAACCACTGCCATTTTTACCCATAAAATACCATTTTCATTTTTTAGCATTTATTTTGCATCAGTGCTGCTGATCTTCTCCAATCTATTTCAACCACTTCCTGTCTGTTACATTCACTCACAACTTTTGAAATTACATTAATATGTTAAAGCTTATATGAGATTTTAGTGACTGAGTTTACCTAGGCTTCAAGAAAATGTAATGCAAATAAAAAATTACAGACTTATAAACAAACCATCCATGCTATATAATAAAATAACACAGCATAATACTAAAAAGTTTATATCAGATTTTAGTAAATTGGGTTCAAACCCATGTTCAGTCTTGCATAAGAATACCCATGTATAGTTCCCATCAGAATAAGGTACAACATATTTCTGTTTATTATAACCAATAACAAAATGCTCATTCTCCAACCTCATACAAGAGGCCCAGCGTGACAACGCACACATCTGTATAACACAAATATAAACACACACAATATTGCCTTTACACGCACATAAACTTTAATGGCATTCCAGTCTTAGTCCGTAGGGTTCAATATTGAGTTGGCCCACCCTTTGTAGCTATACCAGCTTCAACTCTTCTGGGAAGGCTGTCCGCAAGGTTTAGGAGTGTGTCTATGGGAATGCTTGACCATTCTTCCAGAAGCGCATTTGTGAGGTCAGGCACTGATGTCGGATGAGAATACCTGGTTCACAGTCTCTGCTCTAATTCATCCCACAGGCGTTCTATTGGGTTGAGGTCAGGACTCTGTGCAGGCCAGTCAAGTTCCTCCACACCAAGCTCCATCATCCATGTCTTTATGGACCTTGCTTTGTGCACTGGTGTGCAGTCATGTTGGAACAGGAAGGGCCATCCCCAAACTGTTCCCACAAAGTTGGGAGCATGAAATTGTCCAAAATGTCTTGGTATGCTGAAGCCTTAAGAGTTCCCTTCACTGGAACTAAGGGGCCAAGCCCAACCCCTGAAAAAAAACCCCACACCATAATCCCCCCCTCCACCAAACTTTACACTTGGCACAATGCAGTAAGGCAAGTACCGTTCTCCTGGCAACTGCCAAACCCAGACACGTCCATCGGATTGCAAAACAGAGAAGTGTGATTCGGCACCCCAAAGAACATGTTTCCACTGCTCTAGAGTCCAGTGGCGGCGTGCTTTACACCACTGCATTCAATGCTTTGCATTGCACGTAGTGATGTAAGGTTTGGATGCAGCTGCTCAGCCATGGAAACCCATTCCATGAAGCTCTCTAAGCTCGGTTGTGCTAATCTGAAGGCCACATGAAGTTTGGAGATCTTTAGCTAATGACTCTGCAGACAGTTGGCAACTTCTGTGCACTTCAGCATGCGCTGACTCCGCTGTGTAACTTTACGTGGCCTACCACATCGTGGCCGAGTTGCTGTTATTCCCAGTTGCTTCCACTTTGTTATAATGCCACAACAGTTGACCGTGGAATATTTAGTAGCAAGGAAATTTCACAGATGGACTTATTTCACAGGTGGCAACCTATCACGGCCCCACGCTTGAATTCACTGAGCTCCTGAGAGCGACCCATTCTTTCACAAATGTTTGTAGAAGTCTGCATGCCTAGGTGCCCGATTTTATAAATTGTGGCCATGGAGGCGATTGGAACACCTGAATCCAATGATTTGGAGGGGTGTCCCAAATACTTTTGGCAATATAGTGTGTGTAAATATAAACACAAACACACACACACTTACATCAAAATCTAGTAATGCATCCAGCTGGTTCTGAATGATTGGAAGAGTTTTTAACAGCTTTTCTGTGGCCATAGTTCTCATCACCCCATCTATCCTAAAACACAGAGAAAATTGGTTAATGAAACCAGCAATAGATATGTAGACTCCAGCTAGGAATCAATGCTTTGGTGACCTACCCTCTTTTCATTTTAGTAAAGTCGACAGCTACAAGTCTGTAAGAAAGTGCTTTTTCATTTAAATATCTGCTGTATCGCCTTATGAAAGTTGACATGTCATAGCCTAGAAAAAAATGCAAAACATATAGAGATAAAGAGTGACAGAAGAATTTTTTTTCTATCAAAAG